GAACCGGGATATGTCCAATGAGCGGCCAACCGAACCTGACTTGTAAACCTGCACTAACAACACAGTATCATCCGTCCAACAATTTTAAAAATGCAAGAAAATTGAAAGAACAAAAACACCTAATTACTTTCATCTCACACCTTGACAAATGTACAATTTGGGGTTGGTGGGTCAACTTGCCCTGCACTGTGCAACAACTCAGACGAGTCTTGCATGCAACCATACAGAGAGCTCTGAAATCCAGAGTCTCCTAATGGCATTGACATGTCAGCATCATTTGAAGAAGTGGCAAAACTGGGCGCTGTGGTGGGGAACAGAAGTCCAGATGATTCAATATTAACACCAAAGAGAGTAGGATTCTGGGAATCTGAATTACAATTCTCTTGCTCAACTGCATTGTCTTTCTCATTAAATGGTGGAAATGACATTGAGTTGGCAAAAGCATTGACCTGTGCATGTGCATACTTTGGAGCCCAAGATTGTTGAGGTAACTGCTCAGTTGGCACAGAATGACCAGCCCTGGATGAGCTTAAAAGATTTCCACTCCCTTCAGGACAAAGTGTACCAAGCATGTTCTGTCTGGGGGTAGCAGATGCTGAGAACTTTGTGTTTGAATCACTGAAGTCTGTTTTAGGAAATGATGGAGATGGCACATTCATTTGCTGACTCTGTTGGAGCTGTTCAGTTTGAACCTTGAGTGCATCATGATAGGTGTTTTGCTGTTGCTGCACCTGCTCCTCTGTTTGATTGTTAAATTGTTGCTGTAGAAGGTGCTGAGGCAGATTCTCCAGTGAAACTTGTGGTTGTGCCTGCAGAATATTATGAGGGATTGATTGCTGAATTTGCTGTTGCAACTGCAACATCGGATTGTGGCTACTCGACTGCTGAACATACTGAAAGGGCTGCTGAAAGTGCATCATATGTTGTCTTAGCTGATCTCCACTTCCTAGATTCTGCAAACCAGCAGCCAACATGGCCTGGTACTGCGGATTGTGATCATTTCCAATCAATGTTGAATCCAATCTCTGTTGCATCCAAGGAAACATACCAACAGGTTGAAAGTTCATGGAGTGAAGACCTTGCTCTCCAGTTCCCCCCCGTAGCCACATTAAGCTGTTGGCATCATCTCTATTATCTGCAGTAACAACAACAAAGATAGAATAGAATTTAAGCTATTTGGGCCTCTAATACACCTTTGGAGTGAGCTTCATGGAAAAATTCTGACAACAGACAACCTGATGACAGAGGGTAATGGAAACACCATGGGTCTGCCTTTATAGTGAATTATGTAGTGTTTCAATGAAATACCAGTTTTGACCAAAACCATATAAAATGGCACTACCTTGACTGAAACCATGGAAAGTGGAATTCTAAACGGGTCATGCTTATCTCATTGGAAAATGAAATGCTTGCG